AAGACCCTCTCTTACATTTAGTGGGTTAGGACAGCAGGTCCACATCAGCTATTACAGCTGCCAAATTAATCAACCTGCTAAAAGAAATAAATGAACTTCAACGACAACAATTTCCACCCCCCTCTAGCCAAAACCTGCTCTTATATTCTCATTCCCCATCTAACAAAGACCCTCTCTTACATTTCCACCCCTCTTCTAGCCAAGAACTGCTCTTATATTCTCATCCCCCCTCTAACGAAGACCCTCTCTTACATTTAGTGGGTTAGGACAGCAGGTCCACATCAGCTATTACAGCTGCCAAATTAATCAACCTGCTAAAAGAAATAAATGAACTTCAACGACAACAATTTCCACCCCCCTCTAGCCAAAACCTGCTCTTATATTCTCATTCCCCATCTAACAAAGACCCTCTCTTACATTTCCACCCCTCTTCTAGCCAAGAACTGCTCTTATATTCTCATCCCCCCTCTAACGAAGACCCTCTCTTACATTTAGTGGGTTAGGACAGCAGGTCCACATCAGCTATTACAGCTGCCAATTAATCAACCTGCTTAAACAAATAAATGAACTTCAACCTTAACGGTAGAAAACCATTTGCCGGGAAACGGGTGTGCAAAGAATCTACCCGACTGTGAGCTAGAGGTAGAAGAGATGGTAACTGATTCAACAAGAAGTCTGAGCGAGTCAAGTTACGAGAAGTTTGACTGAGTCAAGTTACGAGAAGTAGAAAGTTGAAAACCGCAAAGTTTTCAAAGACAAAGCAAATTTGAAACGAAGGAAACGAGCAAAGTTGAAATCTGGTGAGACGGGAACCTGGTTAGAGAAACGGGAGTTTGGTTTGGCAGGGCACCGTTTGTTGGTGGAGCGTGGTGAGTTGTGGACAAGACAAGAACACGGGCGTAAGGTGAAACCTAACTGAACTGAACTGAAAAAAAACCCTACCTTTTTATCTTGATAATACACTTGTCAATATAATTAGCGCATTCTAGTTTTAATTTATTACGTTCTTATAAACTCTTGTAAAGTAATTTAGGTAAATAATTTAGCAATTTAATTTTATTGTATTATTGTAATTAGGGTAAATAGTTTAGTTTATTCTTTTTTGTTGTTGTTGTTGTTGTTTGTAATTGTTAATTACCATATCGTCTTTCTTAGAGTAATAAATATTTCTAGGCCTACGTTTAGTTGTGTTGTGGCGTGTCTTCTCGGGCTTGTTTATGTTTCGTGTTTTGTGTATGTTGGAGGGCGCCCACCTTTGTGGCGCGGAGTCGTCACACTGACATAAAACACAATCAGTCCTTCAAGGGCGTTTACAGAATCTGGACCGGATCGGATCGGATCGGATTGACAAAACCTGGAACGGTTCGGACCAGATTAACAAAACCTGGATCGGATTGTGTCCGATTGACAAAACCGGGACCGGATCCGAAAAAAATCAGATCGCCATAAATTTCCCGCCAAATGTTAGTGTAAGAACGTACCTCATATTGGAGCTATACGCTATTGAACGTGGAAAACATCCAAAATTCCATACAAGTTTTGCAGCCTTAAGCACAGGTAGCCCAAGCTCTCTATATGAACCACACAAGGAACACAATATGGCATATCGATTTTGTAAGGATTTTTATGGCATTTTCTACTAGATATCCATGGAGGTAGTTAAAAGTAAATATTCAATAAAAATGGCTTACCTTATTCCATACTGTGTTGTTTGCTCCTGCTGTCGTTATTTTACCGATTTAACTTTATTTAAGCGATTTTTTTTAATCCTGGTTTTCTCTTCTTAAAGAGAAGCGAAGGTTGTAAACCATGGCGGTCGACTACCTGAGATATGGTCTTAATGTTCGGGCCAAAACATAAAGTTAGAACGTTTCAAATCCCCTCAAACTGCCCCTTTGCCATGTTCGATAATCGTCCTAGATAGACAACCGAAGGAAATACTGAGTCCCCAATGCACGAAGAATAATTTCCAACCTTCGCTTCTAAGAGAAAACCAGGATTAAAAAAAATCAATTAAGTCAGGTTAAATCGGTAAAATAACGACACCAGGAGCAAACAACACACGTATGGAATAAGGTAAGCCATTTTTATTGAATATTTTCACTTTTAACTACCTCCATGGATATCTAGTAGAAAATGCCATACAAATCCTTATAAATCGATATGCCATATTGTGTTCCTTGTGTGGTTCATATAGAGAGCTTGGGCTACCTTTGATTTTTCTTGCCATGCACAGTGTGAGCGCTAAGTCTCACGGGAGTTACAGGTCTCACGGGAGTTACAGGCGATAATGTTTAAGTTTTCGATCTGAGGTAACGACACCTGCTAAGCAAGTGCCGGTCAACTGAAGTCGCTACAATTTGACCCTGATTGATTGTAGTTGAAAATGAATATCCACAGACGTTCTCAAGCTCACAATACGAAATGTTTAGTTGTTTTATTACGAGCGGACGTGACCGTGACGGGAAGGTGGTGTTGTGTTACAATGCAAGTGACGTATTGTGACAGTGTTGCGAAAAGCGGTGTTACATTACTGTGTCGACCGTCGATTTTGAGCGCTCTATACAACAGTGTATGGAGTCCGTAATGGCGTTCTTTCAAAACGTTCGTTATGATAATGATAATCTTCAATAGTTGCTCCTAAAAAGGCTTTTCGGCAACTATTTACAATGATGGGTCAGTAATTTACAATAATGTTTAAATAAATTTAAAAAAAGCTATGTACAGTGTGCAAGGCTACAAATGTGTTTCTTATTATGGCATAATTATGTATAGTTTTTAAAATAATAAAGTATGTGAACTTACCTCGTCTGTTTTCTTTAGTTCTTTATGCCTGTTTAGGTGAAACAATTATACCTTTAGTGTAGTGAGTTGGGGGCGCCTATAGAATATCTTATAGGAAAAAGAACCATTACAACTAGGCTTCACTGAGCTGCGAAAAAAGGCAGACGTATTTCTATGCCAAAACTTGATCATGAGATGT